GCGCGAATGATTTTAACATGTATACAGTCTAATCCAATGGTGTTAGTTTGGGGTTACCTGATGAAACATGTGGTAAGTGCTTAAGTGTCAGTTCTAAAATTTAGGTTGGGGTGTTTTGTGATATTTAATTACCCTGAAAACCAAACTTCAAGCTACGTGATTAATTAGAAGCGTATGTGTATGTTTGGGTAGGGGTTTAAAACGCAAAATGATGAATACTAAAAAAATGATTAAAAATAACGAATAACCAATATTTCAGTTATATGTATTTTGCTTCTTCATGTTTACATTATTATTTAATTGAATTTTGCAGATTTATATAATTTGTAGTGTACATAGGGGTATATATATGTGAGTATTCACAGTTACTCAAAACATATGTGAGCCTATTAGAAGGGTATATTTCGAAATATACATATTCCATATTATCGGGTTTTGATTATTACTGACTTCGAAGTTCTTTCTGTTCATTCATTTTTCTAATTTAATTTGTATGCTATTTTTTTAGATACTTGACATGAACACTATAGTCATAAACAAATTAAATGAATTATGATATAGTTACCATTTTTTGCTTTCCCCCAGGATTGCGCCCGCCAAGGTCTGTCAAAAGAACTCGTAATTATTTGTATGAATGTGTTACTGCTTTATAATAATGAACAAAAATTAATGTACCAAGAACACAGCTAATTAAGCATCAAGTTCAACGAGCTTCGCAATTTTGTCTCTTGAATGAGTTCGAGACCTCAGCGAAGAACGGTACTCCGCTGTTTGGTCCTGGATTCTGAGTGCAGTGAATGAAATGACAATGACAAAAAGTTTAGCCAATGGGCATATAACTAAATTAACTATAGTATAATATAATATATACATCGTAGAGAAAGCCTAGAAGGCTGCATTTGAATTTGAAAAGATAGGGACATGTAGCGTGCTGATTTATCTGAGCCGTGATGTCAGAGGGAATTGACATTTACGTGTTGTTGTCTTGCGACCATCACCGTTGTCGTTAAAAGACATATTCAAGATTTCAAGGTCCAATTTTCTTCGTGTCGGTCCATTATTTTTCCCTTCGTATATTTCCAAATTGTAAATATTTTTTAATTTTGGTTCAAAATAATTGTTAATTTCACATCCAATATATTTTTCCTTTTATGATTTAATTCCCGACCTAACTGCTAAGTTTTAACGGGATGGATAAAAAAAATATTTACCGTGTTAACAAGATTTTTTGAATAATAGGAGTGTTGGAAATTTATCAAATAATTAAGATTATAGCATGCAGATAAATCCGAAAAAATAAACAATTAAAACTGGCCTGATCGGGAGCAGTCGTGTATTCACTGTCCTAGAAGATTGAGAACGCGCCTATCGCCCTGACGCAGATGATTCCCTCCCCTTAGTGGTAAAAGCCCCCGGAAACGGCCGGCCTCTGCACTCGGGCGAGAGTGCAAAGCTTCAGCTCAGATGAAGGAAGTTGCCCATAAAATAAAACTAAGATGTAGATGAAAATAATATGTAGGGGATAGAAGAAAAACAAGAGAAACTTGTTGTATATTTTCCCTTATCATTTTGAGCTCAACATACAGATATATATATATGGTTGGAAAAGACGTTACAAAAACCGTAATTAATTCCGTAACGTTCGTCATAAATTTTGTAACGTTCCCCATAATTATATAGCCGTTACACATATTTTTAATTGCTAATTAAAACATGTTTTAGTTATAAAATTTTTATTACTATTCATGAAGGCAAAATTATCTTTTCTTAACAAAATATCTAACAAGGAGTACACCCTAGGGTTGGAGGTATACTTTTGTAACTTTTACTAGCCCCCGCCCCCCCCCCGCAAGAGTAGAAGCACTGCCGGAGCCCTCATATTTTGGGACTCCATCCTTATTCTCTAAATAAAGTAAAAAAAAAACAACAAGTTTAGAATCTCCAAGGAGCGGTGTGAATGGCGTCTTTTAGCAAGCGATTTCTAAGCTACTAAACTGCGCCCCCGTTAAGATCTCGATGGCAAAAAAGAAGAAGAAAAGTGGGAAAAAATCTTCAATATTGGATTGAGAGCATCAAATTCAAATTTGCTAGATTCTGGTGATCAATCTGATACAAGTTTCTTTGAAGATGATGAAGATTCTGTTTCTAGTATTATGGGGTCAACGGGGCCGAAGAAATAGATGATGGAGATCCTTAACTCTATTGATTCTTATCAACCTCAAGCAACTCCTCAGTTGATGTTTTCTTTCTGATTTCTCAGTATAGAGAATCTTGATGTACATACACTTTCCAATTTGGTAAATAAAAATATATTCTTCATTGACCAAAAAAAGTAAAATAAAAAGAAATTTTGAAAATTGCATTGAACATTTAGCACGCTTGGGTTTGTCCTATTGACCAATCAAGATGGACTCTGTCAACATCACTGATAGTTTAAATCAAATTTGACATATATAGGTCACGAAACTAATTATGTATATCTCATATACAATATAGAATTTTCTTGAAATATGTCTTCTTTTGTGTTGTCTTTCTGTTGCTTCGGCTGCTTCCGTATGAGCCAATATTTGCTTTAGCTGCTCCTGTGAGAGACAATATTTATGCCCTTTTGGATTTGTTTTGTTAAATTCTACTTTTTCGGGCTTGCTTTTTTGTATGAGTCCAACAGTTAAAACACAATTTTCACTAATTAAAAAAAAACATTTTGATTTCATAAGATATATAATGACCAAAACGCATCGATATTATAGACACCATCTCTTGTCACGTTTGCCTCGCACGCTCCAGCAAGAAGTGAAAGTTTGCACATGCATAGAATTTGGAAGTCCCCGTCGATATTAATTGAGAATATGGGTTGGTTTGGGGGGTGGAGTGTGTGTNATTTGGTGTATTCAGATAGAGAAAAGTCCAGAAATTCCCTTGTGACATTAATAAGCTAGCCTACTCGTAGGTGCGGGTGTACTACTGTACATACATAGGATTCTGTACACGCGACGCTGTACGTACGTATTTACTTGTAGACTTCGAGATTACCGAAGTGGAAAACTACCGCTTCCTTGTTAATTATTCTCAAGGACTGATCATAAAAATATTATCGATTGGTCAATTACATCAGCAGGGAATTATTAGAGTATATATAGGAGCAAGGTCTTGTTAGAGTTAAGCTGTTGTTTTTTTCCCTTCGATCTGTTTTCGTTATTGAGATACGCGTTTCATTTAATAAACCTCAACAACTCCGACCTACTCACAACCCCTTCTCCTTGTTCTTGTCGTTTTTTAGTTTTTAGTTGCCTCTCGGCTCTCGATCGATCCTTTTTTTTTTTTTTCTCCCTAGGGTTTGCATCATCTCGTTAGCCGACCAATATTGTTGGGTGGTACCTATGAGATTGAAAGCAAAGCAAGAGAGTACTTACGCGTTCATTCAAAACTCGGAAACTATCAGCCAAGCACAAGCAACACATTAGCTATATATGAGCATATGCATACAAGACCAACCATTATATATCGATGCGCGTGCAGCCAGATGAAAAGCGCTGATCGGCAGAACGGAAAAATCCCCCGCCCCCCCCCCCCCTGCCTATATGCTTCAAATTAAAGATGCAGTCCATCCATCGTTTATCTTAGACTCTTTGTTGCTACGCCAAAACTCAGAATTTACAATGAAAATCAAGGGTTGTCGTTTTACATTCTAATAGTCTACGTATGCTTTCAATATTACCTATTATAAAGTGATGTAATTAGAATATTATATTAGCAATATTAGGGGTTAGCTGCCAATTGACCCCATTGCTGGCTATCTCTCAATTTCAGATAGACTCCTAGATTGAGTTTTTTTGACTCTTTTGTTCTCAGCGACAGAGGAAAATTGTTTTTTTTTCCCAATAAACATACCTCAAGACGGTCAAAAAGATCTCATTTATGGGGGCCATTAGCAATTGTGTGATAGTACATGATTGTCAATGTCCATCAACAATTGATTGAAATTACATGAGTTAAGGTCTATCTGCAACAATGTAACTACATGACCACAGTCTACGCGCAATTGAACGATAATACAAGTGATATATCGGCAAACCACCCTAAACTATTAACAATGTATCCGTAACATTATAATCACTGCAGTCTACTTATTTATTTATTTATTTTTACCGAGAAGAGACTACCTGCATGACGAAGAAAATCATACGGGTCCTAGCCCTTAAAAACCATATCTTAGGGAGAAGTAGATGATAATGCGTTTTCCAATACAGTTAATTCTGAATTGATATATATACTTCGTTTATAATATCAATGTGTTGGCTATTTCTGCAATAAATTAAAATATCATATCAGTGCAATAAAACAAATTTTTGCTCCATAAACTTCAAAATTTCGGTAGAATAATTATCAGATCAGTGCAATCCCGCATATGTTTGCTCCATCAACTTTATAAATTTCAGGTTGAATAATTACCAAAGTCTCATTATTTTCTGTGTAATTTTCTATAGAAGACTCGATCTATAGAGTCATTTTCTCTTCATCCAACTAATTACCAGCTGGAGGTTGAATGCCTGCACCCAGTCTAGTTTTTACTCTCTCTCTCTCTCTCTCTCTCTCTCTCTCTCTCTCAATTGTTTTGTCTGTTAAACACTGGGACCCACAACTCACCAACCAGTCTTGAGTAATTACTCCGTCTCACTCTGACATCTACTTTTCTTGTTTTCTCCTCCTATTATCTCTCTTTCTTATGTTCTTCTTCTTCTTCTTCTTCTCATCACCACTGTAATCATTTCATTCATTCATCATCATCATCTCTCTCTCTACCCCCCCGCCCTCTCAACTCATGAGAGTAGCTAACAATATTTAAAAAGAAGCAGGTAGCTGATCCCGTGAAGTCAGCCGGTCACGAAACAGATGAGGAAGCTATCTCTTTGAGGGGAATGTTGTCTGGCTCGTGGCTAGCTACTCATCATCGACCATCATCATCATCTCATCATCACCTATT